TGGAGGGGAGTGGGCGTCGCGGGGCCCGGGGGGGGGGGGGGGGATGAAGCTGCAGCAAATGATATAGGAGGTGCCCCACAGGACAAGATGTGTGCTCTGTGCAAGAAAATAACCTCTTGAAAGAGATTGACACAAGAAACCCCCGCCCATAAACATGCACAACAAATGACCTGGAGACTTCTCCCCACATGAAAGCATCAGCAAAAACTGGAGTCTTGGGATTAGGCCACAATGGCCCCCCCACCTGACATCTGCACGTGCAGACATACTCTAGCGACATAGAGAGCCGGTGCTTCCTTTGAGCAGCTCTGTCTGATACTCTTAATTATGCTTCCTGTTGGTGCCAGCTCCAGATGAGCTGGCATCCTTGAGAGATCAAGAAAAAGAGGGATAAAGTGCTGTTACAAATCTGCAGTGCCTGGGGACGCGGTTCAGCAGAAGACGAGGCTCAGCCATCTTTGCTTTCTCACAGGGAAGCCCCATAGCTAATGCCGTAAGTGGACCCCATAGATAGACGCTACTGCCAGCTAGTGCTCAGTGGGTATACTAGCTGCAGAAGAGCTGTGGGGAACCCTGCAGACATACTAGGTTTTTCCAGCAGAGGGAAGAGATTTGTGTACCTGCTGACTGGTGAATTACAGCCAAAAAAAAAAAAAAAAAAGTCAGCAGCAGAATGGTGTGTGGATGGAGAAAGGAAGGAGGGTGAGAGAGTGCTTAAAACCTGCAGTAATGAACCTCCATGAGAGGGAATTTGTAGGCAAAGTAGGTATGTTGCCTGAGACCTCGAGTCACCAAATTACTTTCCATGGGGAGAAGGTGACTACTTCAACCTCTGCCTTGAGGCAGGAAGGCAGAGTGCACTCTGCCTGCAGAGATCTCCTTGCAGTGATCCAGTAATGAATGCAGAGGCCAACACATTTTAGGAAGTGAATAGATACAGTGAGATAAAGTGGCACAAGTTACCAGCCTCATAGGCCCTTCTTTGGGTTTCTTGCATATTGCGTCCAGGACACACATTAATCCCAGGGGATGGCTTCTCTTTTATTTTGTGATCTGTCTCTTTCTCTTGCACAAGAAGATCTCTGAGTTCAAACTGAGAGAGCAGCCACAAAAGCAGCTAATTGCTGAGCAATTGAGAAGGATGAAAACATACCCTTTCTCTGACAACCAGAAGAGGTGATGAGAAAGTTCCAGCAAGGATGTTCATACTGTGAATCAGCTCGTGGGACAAGGTTGTAGAAGCACTGCAGAGTCAGGGGCAGGATCCAGGCTGGCTGTCGGTGGGATTGAGTAAAGGATGCTGAGGTAGCTCAGATGCAACACAACCTCAAGTCAACAATATCTTAACACTTGCTGATTTGAGAAATGGGCTGGAGCCAGCCACTCAAATACAAAACCCTGCAGGTGCCCCAAAAATCAATACCAGCTGAACAGAGATAACAAAAAAACACTCCAGGACACAGACTTTGCAGCTTCACTTGATCAACACTTGCAAATAAACAGTTCTATGGTCACAAGTGCCTCATTATCAACGGTACCAGCACTAGGGACTGCCTGAGCTTTCACACACTGCAACAGTATTTAACAAGTACAGGGAATCCCAGGAACAACTCCGGAAAGGGCCACTGTGAGGGTGCATTGGGGTGCCTTCTTATGCAGTAGGCCTTCTTGCTGATTCAGCAAGATCATCACATGTGGACGTAATCTTCAGGGGAATGGATCTGCACCTCCAAGCTCAGAGTTCAGATGTTCTGTGTCCCTTGCTGAACTGGGACATCTGGGGAGGGAGATGACACTTAATTTCTGGCCAGCTCCACAAACAGGGGCATTTTGCCTTTTTGTGGTGTGTCAGTCACTTACCAGCAATAGAACAAGCCAGCAAGGCTCTTTCACAGCCACACGTAGCTACTGTTCCCAAAATGTCCCCCTGGCAGAAAAGAACTTAATCTCATCTTTGCTTACTCCAGGTCATGCAGCAAAGCATGAGAATTCACTGTCAGACAATCAGCTAGCAGCATGGTGTGCCTGGACAGAGAGCAAGCGAGTGAACAGTGGATTAAATAGATGAGAAGGGATGGATAGTTAGGTGATGGGTAGAGATGGTATGGGAATGGGTGGACAGAGGTGGATGGGTGCAGACTGTATATGAGAATGGAGAGATGCAGAGACAGAGTGCATGAGGGTAGTTAGAGTGTATAAGAATAAATTAGGAAGGATGAGATTGATATGATGCTGGGTAGACAGGGCTGATCCTGCTGTCCCATTGTTTCAACCCAGTGTAACTCCCCTGTTTACAGTTGGGTTCTTGCCTCCTCTGGGCCTCAGCCATCTGCTGCTGAGCTGACTCACCTAAGACAACTGCAGACCATCTCCTGAGGTGTCTACGATGGCTCTATCCACCTCCAGAAGACTCTGGATTGTAGTTTGGCATTTCTTGGCTGTTGCCAAGTACCAGCTTTAGGAGGCTGGGCAGGTTGAGTGGGATGCTCAGTGGGAAAAGCAGGTGCCGTGTAAAAGCCCCAGGAGGGGGCAGGTTCCTGGGGGGCCAGAGGCCGTGAAGCATGACTATCTATGGTGCTCTCCCCAGCACTCCCTCTGTGAGATGTTAAACCACTTGAAACTGGAGGCTTCAGGCATCAAACGTCTCAGCTGCTAAGTACTGAGTGGGGTACATCTCTTGAGAGCTCCCCGGCATGAGCATCATGGCCCGAGCAAGTCCTGTTTTGACTCAGCCTCTTTTGAAGCAAAAACCCAAACACCACCACTTATGTTTCATCGTGGACTGAGGGTCATTGGTCTGACTGGATCTGGCAGGGGATATATACCAGGCTGCAGAAACAATCACCTCACAGCAGGGAACAAACCCGCAAGCTTTGGGTACCAATGACCCCTGGGCCACATAAAGCTGCTGTGGGCAGACTGTTGTCACCCTGCAGGTGACACCAGCGGCTGCTCATATATCAGAGCTCTTCAGCTCTCCCAGTGCTACTAACACATTGGTATTGCTAACACCAGATCATAAGCTTGGCTTAAGGGGAATATCACAGGGTATGTAGGATTAATAGCGACGGACATGTGAAGATAGGAGCTGCCAGGGATCCCATTTCAAGCTTTGTTCAGTGACCATGAGAGCTGCTGGCCTACTTTTTGAACAAACGCTAAAGCTTGTGACTTTACAGTATGAGTCCAAAAGCTGCGCTCTGCTAAAGTACCCAAATGCAACCATGAGTGCTGGTGAGGCACAGGTGTTGGTTTATCACTGTCTTTCTGTGGCCAGCAGTTCTGAACAAGGAGGGATAACATTGATGGTTGAGGAGGAGACCTCCCAAAGCTTTATCTCCAATGGGCAGAGATGGAGCAGATGAGTACCTACTTTGTCAGAAGATCTCCTGGAGCTCAAACAGCACCAGCAGAGCAAGGCAGAGAGTTGCAACAATCTGGATTATACTACAAGGCTTGTAATGTTTGTTGGTGACTGCTGACTTTTAAACACCAACTACAGGTGATTCCATGAAAATGGAGCGTCTCATTTTAAAGACAGTATGTTTTCTGGACAGTTGGAAACAGAGTCTGAGTGCACCTGTGGTAGACAATCAACAGTACTAAGGCAAAACTCCAGTGTGACCAAGTGCAAATCTTATGTATTAAAACCAGTCTCATCACTTCTAAGCCTGCACTCAGTCTATGTGATGGTCACTGCTGGAATGATGAACTAGCCCATTCTAGAGACACTGCTGTAGGGAACTACCCGTTTACAGAAACACGTCAACCACCCTTTCCTAATCAAAGGAATTTCCCCCTCCATGGCAATGCACAGTAAAACACTGAAATACACACAATAATAAAAAGGAAATAAAATAAAAAGTGGTATGCAATATCATAAGAGCATCTTTAACAAAAAAGGAGTGAGAGATCAAGTCACACAACTCGAGGTGCACCGTGGTTTATGGAGGTTTCTTTACACAAGAATTTCATGTGATGCATAACAACTGCTAATGGGTTGCTAAGTAGTGAAGGACACTGCACAACCACTTAGTCCAGACAAACAAAAATTTTTCTTTCTTTTTAAAACACAGAAAAAAAAAAAAAGTAAAATGCCAGTGCTTTAAAGCAAAACACTAGAATGGCTGCACTTACCACCTGGTAAAGGGTTAAAGAGCAGAAAGAGAGGTTCCAGAAGCAGAAGGAAGAAAAAAAAAAAGGAGGAGAAGCAGAAGAAGAAATTAATGTTACACATGCAGAAAAATATAGAGAAGATTTTTCAAAGAAAAGCTCAGGCATTTCTATACCTGGTCAAAAGAAAGCTATTTTTTAATTTGCATATATAGCATGAGATCATTTCTTCTTACCAGGCCTCTTAGCTGGCTTGTCAATGAAAAATAGAAATGGTAAGGTTTAGGAGGTTTTTTTGCCTTTTCAGTAATTTCTAGCTTCCCAGAGACATATTTTGAATTTTTTTGAAAATTAAAAAAAACAGACAAAATAAGATTATTTTGGAGTGAAGTTGCATAGTTTGCCTTCTGCCACAATGCTGCTTTTGCTGTTTCAGTATACGCTTTAATGAAAATATATCCATGGCTCCAACCATTTTGGCTGAAGGATGAATGCTGTGTGAGACCCTCCCAGAAACTGTTCTCACTGCTGTCGCACCATGTGCAGAGACACTTTGCCTAGACATGTGGGTGGGAATGGACCCCGTGGCCAGAGTAATGTTGGTCATAGGCTGCCTGTTCCCCAAAGGATGAGGCTGTGGCAGCTGTAACCAGCATGGTGCAGGCCACAGCGCAAATCTGGAAAGGATGCTCTTGCTGAGACCAGTAATTCCCTTCACTGACTGATGTATTTGTGCTGTAATGATGGGGAGGGTCTCACAGGTGGACTGTCAGGATGGCACAGGTGAAGCTGATGACCTTTGCATGTTTGCCATCATAGTGGAAGAGTACTCATACAGTGTCCTCTTCCCACTCTCACAGAAAAAGGCTCTTATCAAAGGTGATTATAAACTAGTATGCAAAAAAAAGAGCTAGGTTATGGCCTACTGTCCCTTCATTAGCAGGCTAATGAAGAGAAAATCAGGGAAGTCTCTGCAGATGCAAAACAAATTGTTACCACCTGGAGTCAGAAGAGGACTCTGATGATACAGCTCAGAAATCATGGGATTGTGGAGCAGAAAAAGTGTGTGTGGGTTTCATATGTACAGGCTGCTAAAAGAAGCCATCCCTCTCCCCGCTCCTTCCTGCCCATTACCGTGCCCCCTCCATCTTCACACAACTTCTGGGGAAACTGTAGCTCTAGGTCTGAGCTCTCAGAGGGGCTATGAAAGAAGGTACTTCAGTGACCTGAGGCTTGAGGAGCCCCTTTAACCCTGTAAAGGGGGCACACACCCCCTGAGGCTCACAGCCATGCTCTATGCCTGCACCATAAGGCTGGAGAGCAGGGAGGAGATCTGGGTCAGCACTGAGTGGGCCACAGGGTCCGTGCATACTCCCAGACGTATGCTATGTGGACTCCAAGGGTACACGATGTCCCAGTGCTGTCCCCTATGCCCAGTCCCATGTATCTCCCCTCTGCAGTTATTTTTCCTACCACTCTGCTCTCCTCTTTACACTCTGGTTGACCTTTTAGGAATAAATCCAACCTATCCTGCCTGAAAAAGGTGGTGAGAGATCTTAACAGCCTCTGCTGTTTTCTAACCACATCTTTGTGCACTGAGTTCTGCTCACCCTGCTCTTTGTCTAGAGGCCTCTCTGATATGAAACTCTCCAGTGGCTGTCTGTTACACCTTGGGGAAAAGGAAAGCTGGGACTTTGTGTTTTGGGAAGGAAAGGTGAAACCTAGACCTGTATGAAACCACTGACTCCTTTGCAGCAGTTTCTGGGTTGAGGGGAGACTCAGGTGTCTGCACCACAAGAAATAGCAGCGCAATTGGTGCTGCTGTTTGCCAGCTCCACAGGGACTGGTGGTGAGAACCTCTCCATGAGATCTCCTGGGACAGGGCTGACATACAGCAGGTCCTGGGAAGAAAGCTGCATTGCCTGTGTAAGATAACTGATGTCAGCAGGAGATATGCCTTTGGCTTGAGTGTGGAGTGACACTAAGAGGACCGTCCCCAGGTCTGGGCCTGGCACCCAAAATTCCTCCTGGAGTTGGTCAGAGTACTCTCTGCTGACCTATCCCAATTTTGCAGCAACACATCCTGCATAAGGGGCCACACCTCTGTACTGGTAAGGAAAAAAGGAAGGATGCGTCTCTGAGTACTACTTACATGGCCGTGAAGGTCTGTGTTTAGCAGCATCAGGGCACAGGTGAGCGTGTGAATCCCATCTGAAACACACAACAGTCAGATGGCTATGATTAATGCCCTTCCCACGTGGTTTTGATTTTTGGCAGCCCATCCATTGCAAAATGAAGGCTGGGGATGTTAAGGAGTACCTGTTTCTCTCAACTGTGCAAGATAGTTTAAAAAAAAAAATACCCTTTTTTCCTTCAAAATTTACCTTTTCCTGAAACAATCACTGTTGGCTTTAAAGCAGCTTTATCAGAGGCTTTCTAAAGACCAGATTTTCTGCTGAGTCTTTCTCCATATCCATTTAGGCCAATGCCATTGCAGAATGGGCCAGAGACCCTGGCAAACAGAGCTAATTTCCCCCTGAGTTGATCACAGTCACCTCAGGTATTTGTCCTGAGGTCTTTAACCATCATTCCTGGGCAGGCTGTAAGCTCTTGAGATGTTCAACAAACTTTATTACTACAAATGAGTGCAGCATTTTTGGCTCTCTGACTTAATAAAACTCACATGAATTTTTCCTTCCATTTGAGACAGCACAGCACCCTCTTCTGTAGTAGGGAACCTGGTGACTTGGTGTTATTTCAAAGCCATGCTGTGTCCTGAAGCTGTTCAAGGTCAAGAGACCAGTCTCCAAGCACCACCTCACAACTGTGAGATGTAAATGCACTCTGGCACATGAAATGATCCTGCAAGGACCTCACAAAATGGCTAGAGAGCACCAGGGAGGAGAAAGGGACAGAAATAGTACAGCCTTAGTCTTTGGCCCTGCTCTTGGTATGCCTTGGTGTCCTCACATAGACAGGCTGCTCCACAGACCAAGCCAGACATGGCATGATGTTCATGGCCTATTTCCCTTGTGTCCGCTGCTCTCTGAATTGGTGCCCTACAGTCAGTGCCCTACAGGCATGGCTGGGGACATGACATTGGTCTCCTCCTGTGGGGGTAGATGTGTAGCCACAGAGAGCCAGCTGTGGCCCATCCCCATCCCAGATAGCCACTAAACAAAGGCACCATTTGTGTGGAATAGTGAAAAACCCTGAGCACCCTATGCTCAAGGCCAAGTTCTAAACACTGACAGCTAAAGGCAACCAAACACACAAGCCCAGGATGAAGGCAACAGAGCACATGAGCTTCTCCCTTTCCTGGAAGAACCATGGTCCCCGAGGAAAGGATTTTTTATGGGAACGTCACATTTTTGTCTACGAGGGCTGACAGTCTTGTGGACATGGTATGATGCACACCCCCCTTCAAGAGAGAATCAGTTACTAAGAATGATGCTTCCTTCGCTTTCACAAGAAGCAGCTTTGGGCTTTGGACAATGTGCCTCGCCAGTATGTATGCTGGAGTCTCTGTGGGAGGTTCTGGGCTGACATCTTCACCTGGCTATTGTATCACTTTGGTCAGCTAAATCATGCCTCCACATGGTGGAGGTGCTGTCCCAAAACCTGCTCTTCTCTCACTGTTGGTTGGCTTAGCTGCATTCACTTTTTCTCTTGGCTTGCATAGTGTCACAACACAACCATACAGCTCTTCCATGTCTGGACTTCATCAGTACAGAAAAGAACTAATAATATTAGTCCAAGACACATTTCTCTCTGGGAGAAAAATGAGCCACCCTGGTCAGCAGGTCAGAGTTTCTGCCACCCTTATCTGCAGCATCCCATCATACAGACTGAAGTGACGCATGGTGTGGCAACAGCCACGTCTCCATCAGTGGAATCCGCATGTAGCAATGCCCTGAAATGTCTTAGAGAGCTTTAAGACCTTCTCAGACACCTGATCATCTCCAGACAAAATTGCCTTGACTCTATTATGCCTCTATGGCAATAGGCCATCACCACCGAAGGTGTTTCTTGGAAATCTAGATAATATACAGTGGCTCAAATTTCATCTTTGTGGAACATACTTTGCAAGTTTAGGCTGGATGCAGTAAGAAGGAACTGCTTCCTGAAGAAAGAGCTTGCAATAGCTTTTTCAAATTACTCCGTATCTAGTGCATGCTTTTGCAGTATCTGCAAAAGATGTGACCTGAAGGAGTCATGTTGCTTCCCTCCTTTGCATCAGCTTCAAGTATTACTTGTATTACAATTGTATTTTTCAAGCTCCATTCAATTCCAGTACTGAGTGCAGCTCTGTCCTACCTGGGACTCATCCAGTTTACTGTAGTCTGCAGTGGTGGTCCTGCAGCCTTGTGAAATGTGGTGCTACCATCATGGGCAATTTTGTTAAAGAACAGGTCATGACAGCAGCAGCAGTTATGTGTTTCAAGTCCAGTTTTCCTTACTCTTAATAGTTTTGTACTGTTCAGGAGTGCAACATTTTTAAAACAGGCCCTACCAGCAGCAGGGACATCTCCACTAAGGGCCATGCAGTTATGGAAGAGTTTAACTTTCTGGCTTCATTTAACTTTCTGGGTTCATTCACGTTTGCATTAGCAGGCACCTTCTTGCAGAGTTTTCAGAACTGGGATCTAATTTCTCTTCTGAAAAAGTGTAGCAGGGCTCCATCAGCAGCTTTGTAGCCCTCGTTGCCATGGCAAAGCTTGTGTTTTCTTTCACTAGTCACTGCCCTCCAAACACCCTCATGCTGAAGGGTGTGGGGTGGAGACAGAGATCTGAGCCTCTGTGTTCCAGCTCAGCCTCTGCTCAAGCTGGTGTTTGCATGCCCTCACTGTGGGTGTTAGGCACCTGAGCATCAGAAGGGGAGAAAGGACCAGAAAGGAGTGGAGGTGGATGCAGTAATGTTGGGGATCAATTCCAGGGGAAGATATTGAAGAAGGGTCAGGACTTGTCATTTGGGATATTTCAGTTTAGAACTGCTGCTGAAAATTCAGCCAGTAGCTTAATGTCTACAGGTGGAGGACCCTTTGGAGGGGAAGGTCCTCTTTGGATCAGTGGGGAAGAACATGCCACAAACACCAGGAAATGAAATCTAAACCTGTACTTCTTTGCGATACCACTGATAAAAGCAAAGAGGTCATTCTGGTTTGAGAACAGCTTGTGTCCAGTTATCTTGGCAGAGGGACTGGAGGGTTCAAGTGACACGAGGTACTGCTGCTATTTGGGAAGCCTGCAAGATGGAGTCAAGCAGGAGCTCTCAGACAGAAGTGGCCTATTGCATGCTGAAGGGGTGGAGGAGGAACAGCTGGCACAGCTGTCAGGTCAGCAGCCTGGTTTCCACCCATGTGTGCACTTATAGATGCCTGTAAGCAGGTGTGTAGAGGCATTCATGTAAGTGTGAACATGGACATGCTCACGTCTGGATGTGTGCATGTGCACATGTTTACCAGGAATGACCCTTTCCATTTGAAAATGTCAAAAGAAATTATACCTACTTAAAAAAAACCAAACAAACGAGGGAATGAAAGTAGCTAACAAATCTGCAGCTCCAGTGATCCCAGAATTTTGACTAGCTATGCTTTCTCCTGCTGCAGTTGTAGATGCAAAGAACACAACTCCTGTGCATGGCAAGTCAACAGCATTCCTCAATCTGCATGGAAATGTCTTCTTCCACTCAGTGGACAAGGTCTTGGCCTGAGCTAGCACCAGCCACTCATTTGCCCACTGCCAGTGACCACTTTGCAAACCACAACTGCAGCAACTTGCAACCTCTGAGAAACTCTCACCATCTCCCTTGGTGCTGGGCAAAGCCTGGCCACTGATGCAGGCTACAGCACAGCTCATAGGCACTTTAGAGGACCAGGCTCCCTGGGAGCCCACACTCAGACCCTAATACCCTGAGGGGACTCAGCTGGCTCTATCATGGGGGTCTGTACAGCACCTGGTGTCCCCAGTCCCTCCCAGTACAGGGAGGTCAGGGGCATCAGCACAGCAGGATGCTGGAGAAAGGGAGAAGCTGTGGCCTTGCCTGCTCTGGGGGTGCTGTTCAGGCCCAGCTGCGGGTGGCCAGATTCACACTCGGGCTGTGTGTGTGACACAGGTAAGTGTGCAATGGACACTGGAGCCTGGGAAAGAAAACAGTACCTTCAGACGTGCTCTCCTCTGGGTTGCACTGGCAATACCGCCGGGAGAAATGAATCAGCACCCGTTCCCGCTCCTGTGTCTCTCCCATCAGCGGGAACGCTTTCAAGAATGTCCTGCAAAGAGAAAGTGATGCTTGAAGATGCCATGGATCAATTTGCTGGGCAGTACCCGTGCTAAGGAAGGAGACAGAAAGGGGTCCTCAAGCAGCTAGGAAGGCCTTTGTCCTCCCCCCGGCCTGCGCACTCCTGGGCCCCCGCAGGAGTGATGCAAAAGGTGTCTGTGGAGCCAGCTCTGAGCTGTGTAGGGAAACATGCTGTCACCTGAGGTTTGACCCACCTCTGGCTTGATGGCACCAGGATTAACCCAAGTGGAAGATGTTACTCCCACTTGCTCTGATTTTGTACGGGACAGTATTCCTGGGAAAGCTGCTCTCCACCATAGGGAAGCAGATTGTGGGCCCTCTTGTCGAAGCCCACTTTTGGTGGTAGTACCTTGTGTCAAACGTGACACTAAAGCAAGGATTAAACGACAATGTGGAGGTCCACCCCCTCCTCCAAACCGCCCCC